TGCCACTTTTTTTTTTTTTTCTGTTTATGTGATACTGAGGAATCAAACCCAAGGCTTCATGCATTCCAGGCAAGTACTGTACCACTAAGCCACATTCCCATACCTCAATAAAACATTCTTTAAAAAGTAAGTATTGTTTCCTTAGGTACCTTGGGTAAAAAGTTTCTCTAGATCAAGGACAATAGAAATGCTAATGTCCTATTTCCAAAGTTTAGTATTGATATTATATAATCACTGTAGAAATTGATGCTCATAGAACCTATTTTTGGTTGATTGAAGTAGTCCCTTACATCTTTGTTTGTCTTGGGTAGGGAGAGTAGGTAGATAATTTTTCTGTTCCTTTGTTTTACCCCATTTGCCTTATTAATACCAGTTGGGGAATGAATTTTATCTGACTTACTACAAACCGAGTAGAAAGAAGTCTCTTAGTGCCAGAGGGGAAGCCTAGACTGGTTTAGACAGAACAACTGCTTTCCTGTGTGAACCAAGTGCAGGTTGTTAAATTTGTGACAAGTAGGAAGAGTTCCTTCTTGTCTTTAGGTAAGGAATTATCAGGAATGATTAGAAACTAGAGCTGTATTATTGCAGAGAAATTATCTCAAGACTGTTTGATAAAACCTTACTTTCAATCTTAAGAACAAATTCATACAGAAATGAACAGTTAGTAATAAAAGATAAAATAACTATTAAGGCATTGAATAAACATTAAATGTTTTTTCAAATTAGAAACTTTCACTGCAGTTTAGAAGTGACCAGAAGAGCACTTATCAAAGCAGAAGAGGGATTTGTTCTCCTTAGTGGACAAGAATTCTTAAAAATGAACATAGGTCATCTGGTTGATAACATAGTATAACTAAAGCATGAGGAAACCTACCATCTTTGTGGAAAGTAATGAGTAGATCTTTTCAACTGAAATTGATCATTTTTGTGGGTAGTAAGAATACAGTCAGATTGTAATATTTTGATTTTGAATGTTGAGGAAGACTTTATTTTTTCTGTTTTTGTGGGTGTTGAGTTTTGAGCATTGAGTTATTTTTGAGCATTGAAGTACTTGGGCGACACGTAGGGAGAGAAATATTTCTCTTCCTACATCTATACGCATGTCCCTATACATTTTATTAATTTATATTACATGGGTAAAGTGCATGTCATACGGAAAATTATTTTGGCATTGGTCATGTGGAGGAGAAAATGAATCACATGAAAAACTTTGAAGAAAGATTTGTTATATCTCTGATTGATTATGGAACTATCTTTTTTTTTTTTTTGTCAGTCATGAGGCCAACTCTGGGCTGGGTGCTGTCCCTCAGCTCTTCAGCTCAAGGCTAGTGCTCTACCACTTGAGCCACAGCATCATTTCTGGCTTTTTCTGTTTATGTGGTGCTGAGGAATTGAAGCCAAGGCCTCATGCATGGAGGCAAGCACTCTACCACTGAGCCACCTTCCCAGCCCTAATTATGGAACTATCTTTTTTTTGTTGTTGTTTTTGGGTCCAGTTGTGGGGCCTGTACTCTGGGCCTGGGCGCTGTCCCTCAGCTCTTCAGCTCAAGGCTAGCACTCTACCACTTGAGCCACAGCGCCACTTCCGGCTTTTTTCTTTTTGCTTATGTGGGGCTGAGGAATCGAACCCAGGGCCTCAGGCATGCAAGGCAAGTGCTCTATCACTGAGCCACCTTCCCAGCCCCTATGGAACTATCTTATGCACTGTGGTAGGCACTAAGCCAAGTGAAATTAGAAATACTGTTCCTAAATCTGTCTTTCCAGTCCTCAATAGCTGCACATTAGGAGGGCATACTGTATTTGACAGTGTAGACATAAAATGCCTGTCTCATCACAGGAGTTCTCTTGGACAGTGCTGCTACTGAGAGTTACAATTATATATGACTTAATTTATGGAAGGCATGATCCAGTTACTCTTAAATTTCATTTATTTAAAATGTGACTATGAATTTATATCAGTATACTTTGTGTTCATTCCTTTTGAAAATGATTAGGAAAAAGTGGCAAGATGTTAGGGAAAAGAGAAGTGAATAGTAGAGCAGAAGTAGAGATTTTAACATCTTAGGAATGGGAAAGGAATCTGAAATTGGGCTTAATCTTTCAATAAAGATTACCAAACTTTTTGTATCTCATGCTTCCATGTTTTCTTTTCTTTGCACCTGTCCTTTTTTTCAATTAAAACTTTCATTATATTTTACAGTCTTAGAAAATTATATATATATATATATATATATATATATATATATATATATATATATATGAAGCAACCCTTCCGAATATATATTTTTAGCAAAAGGAATTTTACTGTGAAATAGGAGGATCATTTGGTAGAGAGAAAAATGCCTTCAATTTGAATGTTATATGGGCAATTTTTTTTTTT